GGGGGGGGGGGGGGGAGGGAAGGGAAAGAGGGAGGACGCGCGAATTCGCGCGTACCACGCGATGCAAAATCCATTTTTACGATACTCACCGCCGTGAACGTCACAGAAGAGCCGCAGACTGTCACCCTCCACATACGGCCCGACCGTCGAGCCGCGCGTGTTCCCGTTCACGTCGACGATCGTGATCTTGTGCGGCGGCACTGCAAACGAACAGAAACGTCGATATATTTATCGTCGACGAATATTCATGAAAGCGGGCGAGCTTTCCTCCCCCGCCGGTCGCATCGCCGCGCTTCGCAGTGGCGGTGTCGCGACGCGAGACGCGACTCGCGCGTATAGCGGGTGTCCCGGGTGGCGCCGCGTAGGAGCTCAACACGTCACGAAAAGTCCGATAACACGAAATTGGTATTGGAAAGATCGTGCCTGAGATATCGGTGACGGCATTAAATTGAAATCTGAAATCGATATCGAGCGCCTGCGAGCGAGCGAATGAGCGAGCGAGCGAACGCGGCCGCTCGCGGTGGTATCGTCGTGCGATGTATGTACACTGAGTTTCAAAAGGACTCGAACATTTCCTTGACGCAGTTCGGAACGCAACCGACGATCCGAGGGAACTTATCTTTCTTTCCCTGCATATATATTTTTCATGATTTTCCAAGATGTAACATAGATTAGAATAGCTAATGTTGCCCCGAAACAGCTTGCCTCACTTTAATTCCAACCAGGAATCCTATTCTTATCCCAAATACCGGATGAAGCCTCTTTTCCGAGATGATTGCTCGCACTCTGCGACTTACTTAGTGCCGCGTGCGACTGTCATCGCCAAAATGACAGTTTAACCGAATATCAAATTAGAAAGTTAATAAATGGCTTTTTTATTAATATTACATACATATATATAAAATATAATTAATTGTTGATGTTATTACTCTTAGCACATTTATAGCGTATGTGTGTATACTTATAAAGTGTAAATAGAGAAAATTGGGGCTAGAAGCGTCACATGAATTTGTTGTCACCAGGGACCCGGACGGGACCGAAACCGAAAACTGTATGGAAACCAATATTTTTGTCGGACCGGAACCGTAAACCATACCGAAATTTTATAGATTCTACAGGACCGGAACTGAAATCGGAACCGTTACATTTTTTTCGGTTTCCGGTTTCCAAACTTTTGACATCACTGTGTCTAGACAATGTGATAACATTTATGCCCACGATTGTATCGGATGTTCTGTCCACACGCTGCCAACACCAGCATCTTAGCACAATTGCTGCGATATCGAGTATCAATACGGGGGCAGTTTGCCAGGCAGTGGATCTTAAAATAATAAGAGCGAGAGCTCATGAGTAAACGCGCACTTTGGAGCGTTTCTTCCTTTTGCGAGCTCGCGCGGTATTTTCTAATTCCCGTCACGGTAAATGAGTTTATCGCTTTATTCGAATTCCCGGCGGGCTTACGGAAATCAGATTGTGACACTCCGGGATGTTTGCGTAAGACGGAGGGGGGAGTGCCGCTCGACGTCGCGGGAATTCGCGGCTGATGTAATTGGAAAATTACAATCGCAAAAATCACGACCCGCGAGAAGGGGCGCGTCGGCTCAAGAACGCTCTCTCTCCTCTTGATTTCACCCTTATTTTTCCACCCCCGCCGCTCTTCATCCTTCTCGCTCTTTCCCGTCGTATAAAGAATTATTTTGGTTTCACACTCGGAGCAGAACGGCGTTCTATTCTTATTGCAGCCCCCTTTCATGGCGCATCTAGCGCGACAGTTTCGAGCTTTGAAATCAAAAGCAGCAACTTGGTGCGCCGCTGAAATACAGTCGCTTCCTTCGGTTTTCGCCAAATACATTATTACTGTACCGTCGAAGGAGAAAGGACTCGCGCGCAAGTCACTCACTCTCTCTCTCTCTCTTTCTTTCTCTTTCATCCCACCCAAGACTCCGCTTTTATTCCGACTGCAAATTTATGTGCGTGCGACACGGTCAACTTTGAACGTTGTTAGTTTTGTTCGCGAATGTAACTAATTGTAAGGCCAATTCTTGCGCGAGCTCTCTTTAAGTAGGATAAAGTAGACAAACGCGAACTGCCGAGTTCGTTTCCGGCTTCTCATTTCCCAGTTAACTTCTCCGAGTTTTTTATTCGGGACACCTCTTTGAATGCAAATACACTTCCCGCGGGACAAGAGGGGGAGAGCTCATGAATATCAAGCCTGATCGGATCGCGCCCGATCGCGAGGAACGAATGCGCGCGCTAATAGACGTTCTCAGAAGGCGTTCTCAGCAGGCTCCTCAAGTTGCGTTATTACGCCGGATTCCACCTTGACCTCCCCTCTCTCTCTCTCTCTATCTCTGCAGAGGACTTCTTCCCTCTTTCCTTCCTTCCTCCGGGTCCTTCGACTCGGCGTTCTCCGTCTTCGTAATCCTGACAAATGGTATGCGGGGAGGTATCATTTATCGGTATTAGCCTTTGTAGTATTTGCAGTATCATAGTCTGCTGTGTAATACGTTATGTATCTCGAACGTCTTCGAGCGAGCGAGCGAGTGCACACGCGCTCTGCAAGGAGGGACATGATGTACTCGCGTCGATGCCGGCGTTGACCTCTTTTTAAAGGCGCAGTCCTAGGTCCATAAGGACGCCCGATGCACCAGCGCGGCACGGCGCGCCATTAATCCGCGACAGGTCTGACAGTGGCGCACCTGCAACTACTGCCGTTATTTATTTCCGCGGGAACTGTTGCCTCGCGCTCTATACTGATGAGAATTATCGTGCTTTAATGAAAGCGATCCCTCCGCTAAAATTCAATTTGTTATCCAGGTCGCTCGCGCGCGCGCGTCAGAGCGAATGAGCATCTGCGCGCTCCCACCGCCGACTTGGTTGTGCGCTCAGCTATTTTCTTTCCTAATTATCCGCCGACGTTTGGCGCGCTAAACGACGCGCGCGATCATCACCCCTTCCTCCTCCTTCCCCCACTGGTTAGGGTAAACCGCCTCGATCATTTTTCACGCGTCCCATTTAGCGAGAGATAATGTGCACGCGTACACAATCGAAATTTTCATGTCATTTTGATGCTTTCAAGGGTAGTTTTGCGTCTACTTAGATGGTCTACCCGGGCCGAAATTTTAGTCCCACGTTAAGTCCACCTACTCGAATCGAAATTTTAATTAAGTTTACTTCTTATTCTACGTCTTCATTACGTCTTCTCTTGTGCTCCTTTGACGCTATAAATGGGAAGTTATTTCTGTTTTCTCCGGTACAAATTTAATTTTGATACTATCTTGAAAAACCGACGCTAAAATAGCGGAAACAGAAATGTAAGTAATCTTCAAGATCAAAGTAGTAATGAATTATATTATTAAAATTGCAATTGAATCTATCTTGATATTTTAGCTTCTGTTGTGTTGTAGAATTAAAAATTTAGCATAAGGCCAACATTTTGATTCGGCTGATATCGGCTGGAAGTTGCGTGCCAGTTGCTGATGATGATCAAATTTGTTTACCCGCTGTTAACGATAATCATGATTTATGTAAAGATGGATCTCGGTCGCCGACGACTAACGATTAAAGCCATGTCGCCGCTAATGTCGCCAGCCCCTTTTCGTTTTTCAATTACCTCACGAAGGGGACATAATTTTCCTAAAGTCATAGACGCCGGCAGAGATATTTACGGTTATGACGATACAGCGCCGAGACCCCCTTCCGGAAATATCTATATAGTGCTGAGAAGTGGGAGAAAGAGAGAGAGAGGGGACCACAGAGATAAATTGATTCCGCATTATGCTCTATCGCGTCTTTGTGATAAAATACCATGGCGATATTTTCTTCGTTCCACCTTAAACGGACCCTTCCTTACGAATCCCACAAAATGTGCGTTCCGTCTGCACGCTATGTCCTCCGATTCGATCGACTTATTCGGAACTGAAACACGCTCCGAGCACTTTGCGACGAACTGTGTGTAGTCGTGACAAAGGAACCACCAAGCCGCCGATTACACGCGAGATTTTGCCCTAAAGTGTATATCAACAGCGTGTAACGCAGTTACTATAACAAAGTGTGTACGTACTGAACATGGATTTTGAATTCGTATTCCGGCAACAAGCTGACTCCCCACGGCTCTTTGGAGGCCGCGCGGATAGATGTAAATTGCCGGGCGAAATCGCTCGAGCGAGACTAATTGCACATCTATTCGGCGCAATCCAAACTCATCGTCGTCCGGAGATTGAGAACCAGCCGGAAGTGGGTTAGAGATATTTGACAACGATCGGGTGTGTCGTTAATATATCTTGCTTCTCATGAAATTTCTTTGAGTGAAATTCCACTTGATACTCTTGACGCTCTTAAAGTAGTCCGTAAATTTATTTCTTTAAAAATCTTTTCAAATTTCAACAGCCTATTAATCGAAATATGATCTACACGTATGTAAAATTAGAAAAAGGTTGACCGAAATAGAGATAGTAAATAATTAAAGTTAACGTTTACATATATTATTTACGTATACCACAGATACGAAAACGACTTTCGATATCACGTTTTTAATTCCAACAACTAAACTAAAACACGGAAAAAACAAATTAAAACCAAAAAAATTTCAATTCAATGAAACGTCGATGTCACGGAGTGTCAGAAATATCTGCAATTGATTCAACTGTATTTGTCATTGGTTTCAATAAAATTTGTGCTAACGGAATAATATATCGTCTTTGATTTAATAAGATATAATGTGGCATTAAAAACACGTTGAATTGAAATAATATTTCTAAGTTAAGAATTACATTACACAACAATACAATCACAGAAATTGTAAATATGATTGAAATAATATAAAACAATATTGTTTCACAGAGAAAACAC